CACTTCTGAAGTTGCCACTAGATCTACCTTCATCTTTCACTCCTTCAGAAAGGTTGCCACTTAGGGAAAACTTCACTTGCATCCATTGGTTGACTACTGGGGACCTAATGCTCCAGCATTCTTGGATGCAATGCAGTGTTAGTGACGGAACAGGCATTACTTACAGGTAAGCAACCTGCCTTTCTTCTTTGTGGTCTCTGTACAATCACACCTATGGGCAACTAGCAGGTTACTGTCCAGGAGAATGGGGCTGTCGTCAATGGAGAATCAACGAGAGAACTGCCCTTTTGAAAGTGCAGTCCTATCTAGTATGGACGTCCAGCTGGTAGCGGTGGACGAAGGTCGAACGCATGGACGACGTCGTGGCCTTGCAGATCTCTTGGAGTGAGACACCAGCTGGCAGCACAGTGGTAGTGGTTTGTGCACTCATGAAGTAAGAACATGGGCAGTCTGTTAGCGGGATCTTGGCCATCTTGTAGGTAAGGGAGATGGTGCTGGAGACCCACGTAGAGAGTCTTTAACTGGAGATGGGTTCACCCATTCTGGGGCCTTCGTAGCATATGAAGAGGCACTCAGAGAAGCGTAGTGGCTCACTCTCAGCCCTGTAGAAGGTGAGGGCCCTCCTGACACCAAGGAGGTGCAGAGTGGCCTCGATGGGGGTGGAGGGGTTGGGGAAGAAGGCGGGAAGGACAATGTCCTGGTTAATGTGGAAGGGAGACGTCACCTTAGGAGTGAAGTGTGGGTAAGGGCGGAGGACGACCTTGTCTCTGTGAAATATAGTGAAGGGAGTGTCAATCTGCAGGGCAGCTAGTTTGCTGGCACTTTGAGCAGAGGTGATGGCCACTAGGAATGCAGTCTTCCAGTAGAAGAGGTGCAGATCTGTCATGGCTATGGGCTTGAAGGGCCTCCTCTTGAGGCATTGTAAAAGCACGTAGAGGCTCCAGGAGGGGGTGTGTGGCCAGACTGGGGGTGGGGCATGTTTCGTAGGCCTCTGAGGAAACGACGTGCCAGGGGGTGGGTGAACACGGAGGGTCCTTGTATAGGGGGGTGAAAATGGGAGATGGCTGCCAGGTGGACCCTGATAGAGGAGGAGGAGAGGCCCATGGTGAAGCGGGTCTACAGGTGTGGATGTGCTCCATGAAGGTAGAGGAGGGGTCAAGGCCCTGGCTGTGACTGAGGCTGTGAAGGCTCTCCACTTTGCTAGGTAGGAGTGGTGTGTGGAGGGCTTTAGGGCAGCCTGCAGGATGGCGGCAATCACAGGAGGGAGGGAGCCGTAAAGGTCGGTCATAGGGTGATCCTCCAGGCTGTTAGCCAGAGGGTACTGATGTCTGGATGCAGGACCCTGCCCTGGTCCTGCAACAGCAGGTTGGGGAGGGGGTAGTTGGGACAGCATGGATGGGCAAAGGAGAAGAAGCCGCCAAGGTTGTCTCGGCCACCAGAGTGTGACGAGGATGCAGCTGGTCCTGTCACTCTGGAACTTGGCTACCACCCTGGTGATCAAGGGGAAAGGAGGAAATGCGTATAAGAGGACCCCCTCCCACCTGAGGAGAAAGGTGTCCCCAGGGATCCCTGCCCTGAGCTGCTCTGGAGCAGAACCATTTGCATTTGGCATTCACAGGGGTGGAAAGAGGTCGGTCTCGGGGTATCCCCATTTCTGGCACAGTGAGTGGAAGGTGGAGGCTTCCAGTTCCCACTCATGTGGGAGGGAGGGAGAGTGGCTCAGAGAGTCTGCCAGGGTGTTGAGGTGACCTGCCTCTCTAGACGCACCAGTGCCAGATGGAGGTGGTCAGGGTCGTGAGACAGGTGGAATGTGTTCCCCCTTGTTTGTTCAGGTAGTACATGACAGTGGTGTTGTCTGTGGGTACGTGAATTTGGCACCCTGCCAGGGTGTCTTGGAAGGACGCGAGGGCTTTCTGGACTGCCAGCATCTCCAACATGGAGACAGGCTTCGTCCCAGCTCCAGTGGCCCTGTGCACACAGTGAGTGCCCCAGACTGTGTTGGATGTGTCCATGGTGACGGTCATGGATGGCTGGGGGTGGGGAGGAAGGGAATCATGATAAATTATTGTGTAAAGCCAACCTAAAGTACTGCAACCCATATGGCAGGAAGCTTTACTTCACATTCTGGGACAAATACAAACAAATATAATATACTAGGAATATTATAAACATCCATGCTTAGTCTAGATGTCTGATTATACAATGGATGTATAAGTAGGCAGACAGCAGTCTAGATGCAATCTCCCTTCAGTAGTATACTGTGTTCAGTCTTATAAATATACAAGGCTTTCCAAGAACACATACCAGTAACTCATTATTAGAAAAATGGTATCAAAGCGACAAAAAAAGAATCTACATTATAAACCCAAATTAGAATTCTGCAAGTAAAGCAGCACTTCTACCATATGGCAGCATAAAAATGAAGCAGCTACTAACCTTTCTAAAGAAATTTATAGAATTAATTCTGAGAGTGAGGCTCACCTATTTTTCTCTAAATGTCACTAAGATTTAGAGTCCAAATATTTTGAAAACATGTGTCACCTTCTTAGCATTAATATTAACTCAATTTTCTTTGATTAAAAAGGGAAAACAAAGACCCAATTTAATACATTACTGAACTTCCTATTATTTTTTAATTGGTACATCCCAGAAGTAGATTCTAATGTACAACGAGTTCAAATATCCATGATTGGCAGATGTTAAATACCCGTGAGGCCATGCTTTAGAGCTGAGAATTCTAAACTATATTCAATCTTTGTAAAAATTCACCTTTCCAGAAGTAAAGAAAGTTTTTAAATATCCACAGAGTTAGAAATGGAAAGGCCCTTCTATGAACTTTGGGTATTATTCATGTTGGCAAGCAAATCAGGAATTTTGGTCTTGAACTAGTCTGCATGACTCAAACATTATTACTTCTCTGAGGGGAATGGGTAAAGCAATCAAACAAAGAGGGATGGGGAGGGATAAAACAAAATTATGTCACATAGTCAAAATCTTCATTCAGGCAATACCTGAAAACTTTTCTTAGGAGTACATTCATCACATGGGCCTTCCAAGATTAAAACTGGAACTAAGTATTTAGGTGGCAACTATTAAATACAGAAAGGCAGCAGAGTGACGAGCACCTAAAACATTTGATGTAGATGAGTAACAAGCATTCATCCAGATTGCAGAATATACTGGAACTACCAAATTGCTACCTTTTTTCCCCCACACTGAATAAAATGAGTTCTCTGTACTATTTTAGATCTTATCTTTCTTTGGAACCAACATGATAATCCCATTTTGGATAAGATTTGAAATATACAACCATCCCTAACATGATATCCTTCAGTCTTTAATAAATAGATACCATATTCTTTAAAAACGTTTTACCTCTTCCCCACCTGCCCTACATCTTTATATGTTCCCATATAGAAACAGAAAGAGAGAGAGTCAGGAGGGGTCTCCCAGGCCATTTAATCTGACCCCCGGCTCCAGTTGGCTCCGCTCATGACATGCCCACCATGTGCATATCTAGCCTATCCTTGAACACCCTCACTGATGGGGCCTCAACCACCTCCCGTGGAAGCCCATTCCATATCCTTGGGGTCCTAACTGTCAGGAAGTACTTCCTAGAATCATAATTGAACCTTGGTTCCCTGAGCTTTGCTCCACTGAAATGCACCCTGCCCTCCTCCTCAGGGGAAAAGAGGTCTCTACTCAGTCCGCGTGACATCCCCCCACGTACCTATATGTCGCCGACAGATCCCCCCAGAATCTCCTCTTCTCCAGGCTGAAAAGACCCAGTTCCCTCAGTCTTGCCTCATACAGCTTTCTGTGCAATCCAGCCACCATCCTTGTGACCCTATGCTGCACTGATTCCAACCTGGCTATATCCTTCCTGTAATGTGGAGCCCAGAACTGAACACAATACTCCAGTTGTGGGTGCACCAGAGTCGTACAGAGTGGTAGTAATCCCTCTCTCAATGTAGAAGCCATGCTTCTGGCTATGCAACCAAGGGTGGTGTTTGCCCTCTTGACCATCGCGTCACACTGTTGGCTCATGTTTAGCCTGCAGTCAACCAGCACCCCGAGATCCCTTTCACAAGTGCTGTTCTCCAGCCATATCTCACTCCACACTGCAACAAATCAGTCCATTTCTTCTCTCTAACTTTGAAATATCCCTTCTTTTCATGCCACTCCAATTCGAATACAAATGCTTGGTTTCATTGTTCCAAAACACACTTTGGGAAGGACTGAACCTTACACATTTCTAGTCCATTTCACCAATAGAATATGGGGAAAATCTTGCATCTTCTCTACAGTGTTCAGTCCCACTCTCACAAGGAGTGGCTACTAACAGTAGTTACATCCCTTCAAAAAAAAACTATTTCTCAGGAACACCAAAGAGCACAATTATTTGATGCACTGTTGGTGAGCAATATACCAGCATACTATCTCATAAAGATTACATGATGGTTGCAAACTCTATTTCACACTTATCCTTACTTCTTTTTATATTTACACATATGTTGTCCTTTTATTGTACATGTAAAGATCATTTGACAGAAAGTAAGTGTATTATGCCATCTGAGCCTCACACTCAGCCCTTCCATACTGTACCTTGTAAATTGGCTAAACAATGTCAAATGAATACAGCATTCCCTTCAACTTTTAGAAACTTTTAATGCTCCAAAAGTGGTGCATTTCAAAAGATGAGTAAAGGTAAAGGTAAACGTTTCCCCTTGACATTAAGTCCAGTCATGCCTCACTCTAGGTGGCAGTGCTCATCTCCGTTTCCTAGCCGAGGGAGCCAGCATTTGTCCGCAGACAGTCTCCGTGGTCATGTGGCCGGCATGACTAAACACCGAAGTGCTGTTATCTGCCCACTGAAGTGATACCTTTTTATTTACTTGCATTTGCATGCTTTAGAACTGCAAGGTTGGCAGAAGCTGGGACGGAGCAACGGGAACCAACTCCATTGTGCAGATTTGAACTGGCGACCATTTGATCAACCAGCCCAGCAGCACAGCGGTTTAAACCACTGCGCCACCTGCATTACAGCTAACTATAGGACCTCTGGGTTTGATTTTTTAATATTTCATATTTCCAGGGATACAAATATCTAGGTATTTATTTTATTTCCAAATATTTTGAAGCTTCTGTACAGGCAGTCCTTGGGTTATGAACAAATGCTGTTCTGGAGAAAACAGAAATGTGTCTTTAAGTTAAATGTGTACGTAGTTGGATCCCGCACAGTCAACCATGTATATGGACAGGAGTTAGGGGCACAACACCCCCCAGTAAAGTGGAAAAAATGTGAATATATCTACCGCCCTGCCACCGAAACTCACTAGTGCCTTCTCTTAGCAGCAAGGAAAAGTTGGAGAGATTTCTATCTTTGGATGGGTGGGACAGGAAGGCCTGCTTTGGAGATGTCCCTCCCTACTCTTCTAGTTCCCCTCTCTCTATGGTGATGCTTTGAAGACCTTCTCTTTCTACCTTCTCTCTTCTTCTTTCTCTTTGGTGATGATGATTTTCTGCAGTGATTTTTAAAAATGAATAGGCTTTAGGAGAAGAACAGGTTATTTGTAACTTGGATGTTTGTAACCTGAGGAATGCCTGTATTAGTGTACAGTGTATGTGGTATGCATGCATGCATGAATCCAAGAGAAAAACAAGAATTAGAATGTCAAACACTTTGTCCAGGCCAGCAATGGGGTACCCCTGAACTGTGGGAGACTTCACCAGTCCATGGAGGCTCAGATCATTATTTATTTCATTTTTATATTGAAATGTGCTCCAGTGAGGCCCCTTCCCTAACTTGAAGCCCCTCTACATGCCAAAAAGTGATGCCATGTGTACATTCAACTGGCATTTCCAGAGAATGCCACACAAGGAAAGACAGGTGAGTGAGACTAGCTGCCTTTCTGTAGTGCCTGTCAAAAGAACTCCAGCTGGCATTTTGGTGGGGACCAAATGACATCAGGGAGTGGTTGGGTGCATCATAAATTTGGGTATAATGGCCAAAGGTATTTTATTTAAAATTAGAAGCAAAAGGTCCAACTGCCTTCTTCCAAACATGGAACTGGGGAGAATGAAATTGATATTACTTGGTCTCATAGTGGGAAACTCTGGTTTTCTTGTTACGTCTGAACCAAACCTATATTAAAACCTTAGTCCTATGATAGCAATGGCTCTATACCCAAAACACTTTCAGCATGCACATTTCATTTCCCTAGAATTCACATTATTTTTCTCTTTAATGTCTGTAGAATAGAGGGACAATGCTTTATAGCTTTGCTTATAATACAGCTAAAGAAAATTTGTTTCCATATATCCTTTCAGTTTCTGTTCAGTGAACAGAAACTGCAGAAAAAAAAACTGAAGCAACACCTCCAGAACCAATATTTTTAAAGCACTGTGATAGAGTTTAATTTGTGTACACCACATACTGATACCTTTGAATAGACATAATTAACAATAGGACAAATCTTTTCTGCAGTATATTATTCAAGGCCATTAGGCAAATTTACTCACCATGATATGAAAAATGTCATCAAGTTAATTAGCACACCTAGTTAGTTTGAAAACCTAGTATATCCAAACTATTTTTTAATGTTGGGATGTAGGTGAAAAACCCAACATTATTCATTCTAAAAGCAACTATTTTAGAATATGTCTAAAAAGTTGACATGAAAGGTTTGACTTTCTCTTAATTATGCAGAATTGATCCTAGCCCTGAAAACTACCCACCATTTTGTGGCAAAGTTTATGTATCAGAATCATCTCCTCCCATGTAAATCTGCTTGCCATTACGCCTAGATTACATCCTGTCCAGAATATGCAACTTCCTGTCCCAAGAGGTTCAGTGTCTCCCTGTCTATTTGTGTTCCTCAGGTGGTTGAAACTAACTTCTGATTCTGTTCTTGCTTAATGGACCTAACATCTGTGCTTGATTTTGCTTTTAATCTGGTATTTATTCATAAAACTGTCCTGAGAAGCTAGTAGATGGACAGTATATAAAAGCTTTAAATAAATAAATAAATAAATAAATAAATAAATAATCATTGTTACTTTTATCTTTGCATTTATTTATTTATTGAATTTGTATGCCATCCATTACTTCCGTCTCTTTGTTCTCTCTTATGTTCTTATTTCTTATTTGTTCTTATGAGAACAAATAGGAGGGGAAGGTCAAGTTCTCTTCTTGCTGATGCCAGAGTGTAGGACATAGAATAATGAATTTAAGCTGTGAGAACCCGAATTCAGGCTAGATATCAGGAAAAGCTTCCTTGTGGTCAGAGCAATATGACAGTGGAACCAGATGCCTAGAGAGGTGGTGGGCTCTCCCACACTAGAGACATTCAAAAAGAAATGGGACAGGCATTTGAGTGGGATGGTGTAACATACTGTCCTGCAACAGCAGGGGGACATACCCAATGGTCTTCGTGGCCCCTTTCAACTCTACTATTCTATGATTCCTTGATTCCTCCTACTTTGGAGTGGATAAGGTTATATTAGAGGGATGTAGATGTTCTCAAATCTCTGGATTCCCTTTAAGCCAAATACTGTAGTCAAGGTCCACTGACTGCACTAGAGCAGGATTTTTAAGAACATCTGAAACAGAATGATGATAGTACCATTTAATGAGGACACAACTTCTTTCAATATTGGAAAGGTTTCTTCTGAGCCCCTCAAAATCTTCCACCCTCTCTCATACTTATATGAAACAAAAAACAAACAGCATGGCTCTGCAATTTTCATTACAATTAGCATGTGAAAAACACAAAAACAATTCAGTATTTCGTGTTTCATTAGGTATTTACTCAACAGAGTTCGGGAAGGGAAAAAGAGGAGGGGTGTAGTGCTATGTGCTAAGGAAGGGATAGGGTAAAATGAGATAGGGGATAGGGTAGAAGGGGACCAGGCAGAGGTGACCTGGGTAAGATTGATGGGTCTAGATGAGGGCAGAGACCTGATAGTGGGGGTATGTTATTGCTTACTGGGTCAACTCAAGAGCCTGTATGATGCTCTGCTTGGAAGAATATCCCAGGGGAGGGTCACAGTTATAATGGGAGATGAAGTCTGCAACAGCAGCTAGTTCCCATTGCTTCCTGAAAACTATGGAGGGACGGTTTTTCACCCAGAGGTCCAGGAGGCAACAGTGGGGTGGGGGGCACACATCCTAGACTTGGTTTTGACCAACAGGGAGGATCTGATGGATGATGTGCAGATTAGGGAAGATCTGGATGTAAGTGATCACTTCATCCTTTGCTTTGAGACTGGGAGAACAGGGAAGAGTAGAACTAGGAGATGGGACATCATGAAGGCCACACTGAAAGCCACACTGGGAGGAGTTTCCTGGGAGAGGATACTGGAAGGCAAAGGAGTTCAGGAGGAGTGGATGACACTAAAAAGGGAGATCTTGGAGGCACCAGCCTTAACAATACTACCGATTAGTAAAGTGGAGAGGCACAGGAGGGCACCACCATGGATGAGAAGAGGGATTAGAAGAAAAAGGACTTCCACAGGAAATGGACACTGGGACAAGTGGACAGAAGCATATACTAGGAAGAGACAACTTGATGCAAAATGATTCTCCACAAGGCTAAAGTTGATTATGAGCTGAGACTTGCAAAGAATATCAAGAGCAATGAAAAGGATTTCTATTCTTATGTAAGTAGCAAGAGGAAGGGGAGGGTGGCAGTTGGGCCACTTAAAAGTAACTGATGTAAGGGATCAAGCACAGATGTTAAATTATTATTTTGCTTCTGTGTTCTTCCCAAAGCAGGTTGGGGAGATCCATTTGAGGGGCCAGGTGAGGCTGAGGTTATGGGGACACAGATTAGAGTCATTCCTGTAGAAGGTGAGGAGCAGCTCAGGGTTCTGGGCATTACAAAAGCACTTTCTCCTGAAGGGTTATACCCAAAGGTACCGTGGGAATTGACTAGGGTACTCTCATATCTGTTGCTCTCATGGAAATCAGGAGGATTGGAGTGTAGAGTCAATAGTTCAAATATTTAAAAAGGGTAGAAAGGAGACAAGGGAAACTACAGGTCAGTTACCCTTATGTCCATTCTGGGAAAGAGGATGAAAAATCTCATAATAAGGAAAGCTCTAAAACCCTAGATAGGGAAGGGGGTTGGCAGCCACTCAACATGGCTTCCAGAAAAATAGGCCCTACCAGACAAACCTTGTGGAATTTTATGACAAGGTTTCAAGGTGGCTAGATGGAAGGGGTGTGATGGGATGTGGTCCACCTGGATTTCAGCAGGGCCTTTGACAAGGTGCTGCATGGTATCTTGTTTGAGAAACTGATGAGCTTTGGGATAGACTGAAGCGCTGCCCAATGAATTAGGAGGGCATGGTTGACAGACTGCAAGCAGAGGGTGACTATCAGCAGGGAATCATCAGGATGGCAGCCAGTGATGAGTGAAGTCCCCCAGGGGTCAGTTCTGGGACTGATTCTGTACAACTTTATCAATTTAGTAACCAGTCCGCTGACCAAGTTCATAGATGATCCCAAAGTGGGTGTGGTGGCCACAACTGGGGAGCAAGTATTCCACATCCAAAAGGATCTGGACAGACTGTGAAAGTGGGCAGGGGACAACAGAGTGGCATGCAGTGTGGATAAATGCAAGGTCTTGCCCTTGGGGCACAGGAATAAATGATATAGGTATAGATAGGATGGGGGACCAGTGGCTGGACAGGAGCAGTTATGAAAGGGATATTAGGATATTTGCTGACAGCAGCTTAAACATGGGCCACCAGTGGGATGTGGCAGTTAGGAAGGTGAACATCACCCTTGGATGTATAGCCAGAAGCATGTCTTCCAGATCTAGGGAAGTGCTGATTCCTCTCTACACAACTGTGATGCACACACAACTGGAGTACTGTGTCCAATACTAGGCTCCACATTATAGGAGAAATATAGCTAGGCTAGAATCAGTTCAGCGCAAGGTCAGAAGGATGGTAGCTAGATTGGGGGGTGGGGGAGATGACATATGAGATGAAATTGAGGGAGCTGTGTCTTTTCAGCCTAATGAAGAGGAGACTCCACAGGGATCTTTTGGTGTATGCCAGGCGATGTCATGTGGAGGAGGGCTGTGATCTGTTCTTCCCTGCAGTGGAGGGTAGGTCACATTCCAATGGGGTAAAGCTGAAAGAAACAGACTTCAGGATGGATGTCAGGAAGTACTTCCTGATGATTAGGACTCCTAGGATATGGAATGGGCTTCCAAGAGAGATGGTTGAGGCCCCATCAGTGAGAATTTTCAAGGAATGATTGGACAACCAAATGTTGGGGATTACATGAGTGGAGGCGGCTGGAGCTGGAGGTCACAGTAGAGGGCACAAGAAGTCCCTTCTGACTCACTGTGTTTCTATGTCTAGATATATCAGGCAAGATCTAGAAAGCTAGATGCACTGTACATAATGAACCATGGGTTCATGATTGATTGATTGATTGATTAATGGAAATGTGTTTTGTGTAGACTTTGACAAGTTAATTATCAAAAGTGCTGTGATAGAAAAGACAAAGTATGGCCTAAATTGAAAAGCTGGTAACACCATCCAACACACATAAACCTCTAAACATGGAGGCTTATATGCAGCCTGTGCAGAGTGAGACATGCAGCAGTGACACCCTTTGCTGCAAGAACCTTATGCTCTGCATAAAGCACCGTAGAGTGAAGTTAAGAAGGCTGGGGAATTGTTTGATTAGGGCATAAGAAGTTGTCCTACCGTTCTCCCTTCCCCACCAACCAACCCACACACTTGCTCAAAGGCCAGTTTGGGAGGCAGCCCATAAACGTTCTTTCTGTGCCTGCTAAGAGGATGGGTGGGGCAGGCCCTTTGCATTTGAAGCCCCAGTTCTCCACATAATTCTATGGTTCCCCAGACCATGTTGGGAGGTCATAGGATTATACTCTAAATAGCACTTTTTGCCATTCAAAGTTGGAGGCAAAGATCTGACCCAAAAGCTGAACCCTTTGGAATACTCATAATATCCTTATCTTTGTGTACTGGACTGGGTCAGTATACTCAACAACATCTACCTAGGTGTTTTGCCAATATAATATATAAATTATAAAGTGTTTGCACTACATAATGGTCAAAATACAGGAACACCACATTTTTTATTCTGATTCAATGAAGTACTCCTTCATGATATGTACTAAGCAACCGAACAAACCCACCAGGGTTCTATTACTTTCTCTGTGCTCTAAAAATATTACTGTGACATTTTGTCTGGTCAACCATCTTAAAAGTTAATTCTGTTTCTTGTATCAGATATTCCATTAGGTGAGCCAGTCTGTGCAGTTTTTATTTACCTGTTCCAAATAATCCTCAAACTGTTTCATTGCTCACTCTCACTCTTAAGAACATATTGACTTACTGCTCTGCTGTTTAATTCATTTATGCTGAGAGTCAGACATGAAGGCAGAATTTTAAATGTGACATTTGCAGGCTTGCTGCATCATTTGAAACTCTGCCAACACCAAGGGATTCCTGACATACAGACTGTTCCAGATTTCCAAGCTTCCATGCTCCGAATACATCAGATATTCTTCCCAGAGGTGCAGATTTCAACCTGAAGTTTTATATTTCCTTTGGGCTTAACATCTTGCAGGAAAGGTCTGTACCCTTGAAAGTTTTAAAATAAAGCCCATGTTTCCTTTAAGTTAAAGCTGGCATTGCCTACAGCAGGGATCTCAAACTCAACTTACCTGGGGGCCGCTGGAAGTAGAGTCTGGGTGAGGCTGGGCCGCATCAAGTATTCCACCACCATGGTGGTGGTGGGCTGCTCATCCCACGTCACTCCCGGAGGCCGGCCCGGGCGCCGCCGGCACTTTGAAGGCCGCAGGGCCCCTCCTCTGTGCCCTGCCCACCCCAGCAATTTGCCTGCGGGCCGCCAGTTTGAGACCCCTGGCCTACAGCAATCAAATTCAACTGCAGAAAGCCACTTTGATTGGCAAAGATATCTAGAAACAGCCTTACAATAATAATTAATGCCCAGAAAACATTCCAGGCAACTTTATCACTTCCAAAGTCCATTTTGGAAGTCCATTTTGCTTCTGAATCTAACTCTTGTTCAAAGGCAGCTGTATCTGAAAGCTTTAGCCATAGTTAATGGGGTATTTGGACAATAAAATGGGCACCTGGCCTAAGTTTGCTGGCAGTTAAATGTGGTCACAATTGGAATGAAATACCTGCACAAGTGTTCTTTTAAGTAACAATTATGTTAAAAGGATATTTGAACTGCTCAGGTAAGTCTTTTGGAATCTTATTCTGAATTACATTGATAAAAAACTATTTCTCAGTCATAAAGGTAATACCAAGCACAAATGTACATAACCTGAGTAGTTAAGTTTTCTATGGATCTACATTCACCCCCTTTTGGCCTGTCCTAGATATTATATTCTAAAGCAATCAAGCTTTAGAATGTTCTCCTGAAAGATGTATGTCTGGCACCTACTTTACAATCATTTTAGCACATGATTATGATGTTTTTATTTTCTCTGATATTTTAAGTTGTATAATTCCTCAGTTTGCCTCCTAATTTTTATATGCTATCTTCTATTGTAGGTGATGTATATTAATATATCAATAATTACCTTTTCAGTAATTACCTTTTATCACCTTTCCTCAAGCCTTACAGATGTTTTAGACTACAACTTCCAGCATTCCTGACCACTAATCATGTTAGCTGGCACTGGATTACATCATGCTCTGGAAAGAATGCTGGTGTTCACAGTTCCAAGATATCATCTGATGAAGGGGAGCATAAAAATGTTTGGAAAAACAGCAACCACCACCACCATTTACCATTCAGTAAAGGTCTTCCTATTGTTGTGCTTTGAATAATGTTATTAGCTAAAGAGAAATGTTTGCACAGAATTTGAAACTATAAACCTATAGTGGCAATAGTTTGTCCAGAAGTATTCTATTTCCAAGACTGGTTCTTATTTATTCTTGAACCAATTATGAATAACAACATACCTGGTGTATTATTTGTGCAACTGGAAGTTGTTCAGCATATTTTAATGGTTCTGTTGCTACTTCATCTGGGGCATGTCTGAAAAAGAAAATAATTTTGATCAGACACTGAAATAGTATACAGAAGGACAAAACCACAAGGTAATCACTTCTACTGGTTTTAAATATACAGTATTCGGCAACAACAAAGCCAAATAATACATTTCACAACTATATTGTCAATAATGTGTAATAAAAGGTTCAGGTACTAGGTAGGGTGAAAGGGAGTATACAGCTGAGATAAATCAGAATTGAGTTCATTCTGTCCTTGTGCATTAAGAGTTGTAGAAACATTTCAATTAGCAGGGGTTTGTTAAAATACACACACACACACACACACACACACACACACACACAGAGTAAGCTTTCTATGTTACTTTTTGAATGACTGAAATGTGGAATGTGATCTTACATCTTCTTTTTCAAAGGCTGGTTTACAAGGCTTTAGTTTTACCACTAGAAGTCTGGACAAGTACTGCAGTCTGACAGCAGCTAATTTAAAGTGGACCAGAAAATATTCTCTGTGGAAGTCTTAAAATCTGCAGACATGGACTTGATAAAGATTTTTCACTGGCATTTCACTGTTGTTTGCATATATATTAATTAGTCTAAACCCTATTCACACCATAGTTGTGGCCCCTGTTACTGGGATTTGTAGTGCCTGTACATATGTTAGAATTCCAAGCTGTACAGTATTCTACTTCCAAGTATACTCACAAAATCCTAAATGCAACTCAGATCCTCAGCAAAACAAACACTGACATCATTTTTAAATGTCATATGCATTCACAGAATCATAGAGTTGAAAGAGGCCAGAAGGCCATTGGGTCCAACCACCCTGTCCTACAACAAACCGATTATCCAATGTTATCCAGAAATACCTTCCTGAACTATTCCACACACCTTTTCCAACTAGCTGGATATCTCAGTAGCATAACTATCCCCAAATTTAGAAGGACTTTATCTCTAGCCAGATTCAATGATCTCCCAACAGCCATTACTGAAGGAAAATATCAAAAAATACCCCCTTGAACAGAGACTGTGCACATGTGGGGGAGAAATAATTGAATTGCTGGAGCATGTTATTCTTTACTGCCCTCTCTATACAGGTGCTCACCAGGAACTGTTATCCCCACTCCTTTCTAAATATCCCGGTTATTCCGATTCATTTTATCTTAAGTTACTTTTATCTGATCAATCTGATTTTATCTCCTTGACTACAGCCAAATATTGTTCACTGGTTTGTACAGTGTGCGGTAGAATTAACTTTAAATGTTAGGTTCTACCAGAATGCTTTTACTTTCTTATTTTAATTACTGTAATTTGATTAGTACTGTAGTTTTCTTATTTTTAACTAATTGTCATTTTGTGTTTTATTTATTGGCTGGTCAATGACCAAATAAAGAAGTAATTATTTGTCACATGCAGTATCAACTGTGTTATCAGTTTGAGACCTAGACCCAGGGAATATACACAAAACCCTCAAAAGAAAAGCTAGCAGGAGAACAGGAAATAAAAGTTGCCAGTGAGTTTATGCTGGAAGGAGAGTGCTTTTTTATGCTAGTTAGAATTAGGTAAACCAGACAGCACTTTATGGAGCAAAAAGCAACCAGGTTTACAGGAGAAACCTTTCAGAATCTTAAGGCTGCTTTTTCTGCAACATAAAAGCACCGAAAATAAGCATGCTTATTTAAACGTATTACTACCATCCTATATAATGAGGCCTTCCTTTATTGACAGAAATGCAAGTGAAAAGCTCTTCAACATTTCACCAGATCCAAAGTTCAGGAAAAGGACAATTCTATCACTTCTGCAAGAAGGAATTCTTCAGGGAGACAAAAAAAATCTCAGTAAAGGAAGACAGTAGCAAAGAAAAAATACAGGAAATGCATCCTCTGAATGGTTTCAAACGTTTTGGGGTGTGAATTTCCTCTTGCACAATTAGGGATTTTTGGCTTCAAAAGAGAGCCACCAAGGGGGTTTCTCTTTAGGCTACATAGTTATGTAGTTTAAAGCAAAAGCCAGTCAGGTCATAGGAACTGCAATAATCAGACTTATAAGGCTAACCACTGTGTGATTTCAAAGTAATAGCTTCAGTGATCATAGAAATTCTTGCACTCTGATTAGCTGCCAGCCATTATTAGACTACCAAGACAACAAGATTTGCATTTTGCATAGAAATTAACAAACAGCAGTAAGGTGATTATGTAAATTAGGTACTCTCAACTGGAGGATAGGGAATTTCCATAGCTGGGGAGGGAAGGAGAAGGAATAAAGGTAAAATGTTCTGACTAGTCATCAAATCAAAGCCATTTTATATATTTTAACGGGAGCATTAGTCCTGATTTCTTCTTGAGGAAGACTGCTCACAACAGGCTCACAAGGCTCTGGTTTAGGGCTCATTGTTTTCATAATACAACACTGATGCCATCTACCGGTTTTCCCTAAAATGTTGCCACTTAAAAAGGGCCCTGCTTAGTAGGTTGGCCTAGGGCCCATTATTATCAAGGCACTGGTTTTGATCATGGCATTGCTGCAGGGAAAACAGTTATTAAAATAATGTGCTTTGATTTGAACAAGAGTGTCTGTTGAGACCCTCAGCAATTTTTAAGCAGTCTGTGAAAAGAAAGTTTGGGAACACACTGCGGTAAAGTTCTTTTTTTAAGACAGCCAATGTGACGTAGTGGTTAAAGCTATGGGACTGAGACTCAGGAGTTCTAGCCTCCACTCAGCCATGAAGCTCACTGAGTGACTTTGGGTCAGTCACAGAGTCTCAGCTCAACCTGCCCTCACAAGGTTGTTGTTGTGAGTCTAAGATTAAGAGGAAGAGAAGAATTATTTAAGCTTCCTTGAGGTGGGATATAAATATAATAAATAAGCAAATGCCAAGGGCATTATATGTGTGGGACATATACTTTTTAAGAGAATTATTCAAAGGAGATTGTGTGTCAATTCAAAGGACATTGTGTGTCAATGTCAGACCCATTTCAGTCTGGCTTCAGACCCAGCTGTGGAACAGAAACTGCCTTAGTTGCTCTGTATGATGACCTGTGAAGGGAGAGGCACAGAGGAAGTGCATCCCTGTTGGTTTTCCTGGACCCCTCAGTGGCTTTTGATACCATTGACCATGGTATCCTGGATAGGCTGGCCGGGTTGGGAGTTGGTGGCACTGCTCTGCACCTAACCGGTGCCTGGCCAAGGGGTAACAGGCTGAATGACGGCCAATAAATTGAGGCTTAATCCAGACAAGATGGAGGTCCTGTTGGTGCGCAGTTCAGCCTTCCAGGTAAGTGATTTCAACTCTGTCCTGGACGGGGTTACATTTCCCCTAAAGGATAGGGTTTGCAGTCTGGGAGTGCTCCTTGACCCAGAGCTGTCCCTGGAGTCTCAGGTGGCAGCAGTGACAAGGAGCGCTTTCCTTCAGCTTTGGCTGATCCACCAACTTGGGACCAGGATACCTGAAGGAATGTCTCCTTCCCTATATGCTCTCATGCCCCTTGAGGTCAGCAAGGGAGGTCTTGCTCCAGGAACCCTCTCTGAAGGAGGTACGGAGGGTAACTACTCGGAGGGCCTTCTCTGCAGTGGCACCCAGATTATGGAATATGCTCTCCAGAGAGGTCCACCTGTTTGCTCTCCCTGTTTGTTCAATCAATTCCTGGGAGCTTGGGCTGCTTGTATCCCACACAGCCTAGACCAGTGGGGGCAGGTCGGTCTGATCTGCTCTGCTTTGCAGTCAGGAACCAAAATGTGACACAATGAGAACACAACACTGGCAGCAATAAAGTGCTTCCTAACTGCCTTCACTGTCATGGAATAGCTTGATAATGGGCACTAAGCTGTGTTCAGTCATTTCAAGTTTTCCTCCACCTGAGCTCTAGCCATCTCCCCTCTTGCTTCATCATCCTCAGCTCTGGCATATACCAAGGAACGCGTTGGGTTATTCAAGAGGGAAGAGGGTGCATGGGAACAATTGTGTCAATTGCCTGGGCCATGCCTGTATTCCACATGTGAGTTGGAAAATTCCCCAGAGCCGCCTGGAATCCACTTGGATCCATAGCCTCTGGGGGTGAACCAACTTAATGGGTACTACATTGCTGCAGAGGAGAAAAGGAAAATTCAAACCTTAAGAGGAAGTGATCAGACCATGACAGAGGAGTAGATGCTGACCCCCCCAATTTCCAGGTCACCATCTTCCTGCGCAGTTGAGAAAATCAGGTCTGCCACTGTGCCACAAGATGGCAGGGGTTGGCTGTACATCTGCCTTCCTCCCCTGAGTGCTCCCACCACCTGAGGGCAGAGAGAGAAGTGGAGGGAAGCAGCCAGGGATGGTGAACAGTGGCAGTCACATTCCTGGCAATCTAGGGGAGTCCGGAGAATCCCACAGGGTTGCAGTCCAGCAATGTTGGGTGGCCAATGGCATCAAACAGGAACGGGGTAGGTCAGGGTTGTGGTGCAATTAATTAAATGATGCTTTTAATCTGAAATATCAAAGGGGTACTTCAAGTGCCCAGTACTGCTTCTGGAAGCCCAAGGTTGCATCTGTGATCCAGAACAGGTTTGATCAGGTTCAAGTCCTGAGTGATCCCACACATTCCCTGCCTGGCTGTGTTGTCTGTCCCCACGTGGATCACCAGAAGTGACTCATGACCACCTCAGGGGAAGAAGATGCTCCAGTCACTCCACCCACACAACTGCTGTCAGCAGATCAGGCCAATCCCCTTCAGTTAATCAGCAATCGGCAACCAGCTACTCTGGAACTTCTCTTCAATTGTCTCTTAGAAAAACAAAAGACTTTTGGTCAGGCTAGCCTGTTCTGCTTTGCCTCTTCCTGCCTCTGCCTCCTCTTCCACTACAACTCCTGCTCCGCCAAGCTCCTATTTGCTCTCCCTATACGCTCGCTCCCTGGGAGCTTGGCTACTTATATCCTAGAGGCCCTCATCCGGCTGGGGCAGCTTGCTCTGCTCTGCTCGGAGTGAGGAACCAGAATTCATTCATATTTGTGATTAGCATTCTCGGGCAAGCAGTAAAGTGTTTAGCAAG